AGTTAACTCGCAATCCAGGTGAACTGAAGTAAACGAAAAATACACGTAAGTGGTTATCAAAAGATTACCTAGGCATCTTTCTTAATCTGACGTCTGTTAACGGAGTCTCAGCCTTAACATGTGCTGTCAAAAGGCTCTTCACCTGCAAAAATCTAAACTGTGAGGCTAAAAGAAATTCAACCTCAATCCCCTCTTCAACACAAGTCCAAATCAATAGCTTCAAAATCACGAGAAATCTATCAACTCGAAAGAAACCTAAACCCATACACTGATGTCAGCCCTAGGGTTGGCAGGTTACCAATAAAACACCAACAAGATTTCGTTTATCTCCCTCATAAACCGGAATCCGGCTGTGTCCTCAAGCAACAATTTTGTCAATCACCTCCCTGACTCTCAGCAGCCACAGAGACAGAGAATCAATAGTCACTTGACCAGTATAACATTCAAGAGCATGGAAAACAAAACAAAACAAAAAAAAAAAAAAAAAAAAAAAAAAAAACGATAAAACGAAAAAAAAACAAAAACTGACACTTCACCACATGAGGCTTAACCTTCATTATAGATCTGTGCACGATCTGAGAGAGATACTTGTGCGAAATCAAAGCGCAAAATTAGTCCGGAGGAGACATACCCGCTTAGCTTTGTATGAACGTCTAGGGAGAAGGTTGACTCCAAAGGGGTCATGGAATCCAGCGCAGTCTGATGTAAACAAGGCAAACACCTTGTTTAAAAACATGGATACCGTTTCATTTGAAACAACAATAAGGTCCGTGTCATAACTTTCCTACTTGTGAACTTGTTTGTCGTTTCCTTACCTTCTCCGTGAGGTCCAAAGCCCCCCGAATGATAGTCGTTTCATCATGTGTAAGCTCTCCTCCTTTTCCAGCCTGCCAAATCCAAGAGAGTTCAACAAGAATCAACAGAAACTCCTCCGGCAGCAGTCTAATGAGCCAATGCACTGAGCGAACAGTTTTGAAGAACGAATTCTGGTTACAATAATACCTCTTTTCCATGAATGCTGACTAGTGCCTTGAGCTGCGCCCTCCTGAACAGTGCCGAATCATTGTGCCCTAATATATGGTCTAGTATCTGCATTCGTAACGAATGATCAGACAGTGGTCTTCACTCTCGAATCTGAGTTCGAAGAACGTACAACTGCATATTCTTCACATTTTTCTTACTAAAATCAACATTCAGCATCATGTGGGAAAGCAAGTTGAAGGAACTCGGCTTTAAGATTGTTTTGTTTTGTTTTGTTTTGTTTTGGTTCACTTTTTTTCTTTTTTTCTTTTTTGTGATGAAGCAGGCTTACTTTTCCAACAGGATAGGAGATGGGCCAGCACAGGAGCATGAGGATTTTGACCAACCAGATTAAGCTGGCACCGATCGAAAGCCCGTGCCTAGAACATACTGCTTGAGGTATCACCTGACAACGGAACCATAAACCTTCAATCTGACATAGATTTCAGCTATAATCAAGATATTATTAAAAATTCAAAATAAATGACTGTAAACAGAAAATGACACGATTCATCTTTGTCATTAACTGTATATTCTCCAGATTTCGAGGAGGTATTTTCTTTGCAGTTTGGGAGATATGAAGGATCATTTACCTCCCCAAAAGCGAGCACAAAAGTGACGGACAACACAACTGCCACAAACTCGTTAAACATGTAATTCAAAAAAATAGGAAGCGCCTGCATCACCCAACGCAATAACAAATAGCGAAAATCAGCAGCTGTTAGAGCACATGGATGAATTGAAGACCATGTGAAAAATATATATATATATATATACACATAAAGGCGCTTGCCATGCTTGTTAAAGAACTGAGATGGGCTCTTACTTCCATAGCAACTGCATTACATAGAAGCAGTGTCACGAGGAGCTGATGCTGCTGTTGAACCACGGGCAGGATCTTGGCTGTAACGCATCACAAACGTAGCGTTACTAAATCCTGAAGGGATCAGCGGCAGAGCAAAATCATCCCGATTGTTAGCTTCAGCAATCACGTGATTAACTTCGTCAACTAGTGGTCTAACATTCCTCTTGGAGCATGCTTGGGTAGAGTTGGATGTGCGGTGACAATGTTAGAGGTAGGCAGGGAATGGGAGATGAGTTCCTCAGAATGAATCAGCAGCAGGGAATACACTATACTCACTAGCCTGATTCTTCTCCTTCTCAGTGCCGCTCTGCTGCAGTACTTCCAAGTCGACCAATCCTAGTGACATGAGGCCTAGCGTGAGGCCCGACATGATGCCAGCAAATAAAATCAGCACAACCGAAATGCCAAAGGATATCCACCACTCTGGCCCCATAAAGCTGAAACGCGCGCCGACTGGCGATGATGGTCGGAGGGAAGACCCCACTCCGATCACGCCCAGCATCCACATCGTTAACCCCATCTTTCGCTTCTGATCACCACTTCTCCGCTACCTAGACCACTCCCCCTCACTACCAACATAAAACTTTATATCCTCCACAAATCTTCGCAGGGCGGAGCATCAAGAGTCACACTACGAATACAATTCCTCCCCGTTCGAGTCTCCCTCTCCGTCCCTACACTAGAGCCGCATTCACATGTGTGTCGGCAGCAGCAGCAGCAGCAGCAAGCTCTCCACCGTCCAAGCTACCTGCGGACGTCTCTGGAGCTCAAATTCTGCACCTACACCCAAAACTCAGCATTGATTCGTCGAAACAAGCCAACAGATCTTACAAAGCGAGATCAACCCTCACCTGGAAAAGTTACGGCGTGCACGATTCTAAAAGCATGTCACCGAATATCAAAATCTGGACGTCTCAGTGTGTTTCGGTGCACTCAATACAGATCACCGAAAGGCCGCCTTTTCATTCAACATCGGGCAGTATCGCGACACATTGAATTCGATCCAGTTGCGGAATTGAAGTCTAGAATCGGCATCATCGGGATCCGCATTACCCACTTTCGATGCTTGCCTGGCACCAAATGAACGAAAACTTTATCACGAGAACAGGCAGACGCGGAACAATGTGCCACCTGGTAGGAATGGGTCGGTCACGCACCCCCGTTTCTGATATCTCCACTGTGCTGACACGTGTCTATATACGTGGACAAAGGGGCGAATGAGAGTCTGTCCCGTGGTACGCGGTATCAGGTACTCATCTTTGGCCGCGGGGTTCTCGAATCCGGATCTCGTAACGTCACCGTGATGCACGTCATTCCGTCGGCAAGTATATTCGAAATGAAGGATTTTTTTTTTTTTTTTTTTTTTGGATTTTGGCATTAAATATTTATGTACAGTATGTGATTGCATTTGAGCAAGCTTATATTTAATTTTTAAAAGAGCTCCTCTTTATTGAAAGAATATTTAGACAATAATATCTTGTACAGAGTAAAACCAATGTTGGGTTTTATTCTCATAGCTTATGAGAGATTGATAGTATGTTTTTTGTTTTTGTCTTTGTCATTGTCATTTTTTACTGCTACTCCTGCTATTTTTATTCTTATTTTTCAAAATTTACCATTGATGTAGACAATTGCAGTGTCCTAAAAAAAGAAAAAGAAAACGTATTCAAAGAATTGAAAGAGTAAATGAAACATATTGTAAACCAGTTTTTATAAATTAGAACTCACAGAAATACATATATATATATATATATATATATATACATTTTAGTTATATGTAATTTTTTAGATTGCATTTATATATCTAAGTAGCATTTAAGTAATTATTTTTGTTTTAAGTCATCAGAATTTTCCAAAAATGTATCTTAGAAAATGTGTATTAAAATTTAGAATATCATGATTCAAAATCTAACCTTTTGTTTAGGAAACTTTGTACCAAAACGTCCAAAGTTAGTATAACAATGACATTGCTCATGTTCATTTATTGGGAATGATAGTTTCCTTTGGTGTTTTCTTTATCTTTAACTTTTCTAAAGAATACATTTTATATTTCAAATTACTTCAGTATAAAACAATATGAAGTAATCATCATTGCTTCTTATCTTTATTGGCCTAAGTCTTATCTCCTTTTTGTAAAACTTGTGATTAAAAAAATGTTGTATAAAGTTTTCTTTTATTATGAGCTACTTGGCTGCCCCTTACAGGCTCCATATGGGGCAGCCAGGTAGCCCCATGCCTCATTGCTATGGACCGCAAGGCAGAGTAGTCAATATATGCAAGACCAGATGCTATTTGGCTGTTCCACATGGGTCCCATAGCAAGGATGAACCCAACCTCACTAAGACATTTGTTCGGCATGTTGGCAGCCAAATGCCCAAATGGTGCAAATGGTGCAAGCATTGGTACTATTGGTGGCCATGCTCTTAGAAGTTTTGGATACCATTCCATGGTTTTTTTTAACCCTTTGATTTTTCATATCATCTTCAAAAGAATACAAACAACCATCGGTAAAAGTAACACATGTGCAACATACATTACAATAAATCAATTAAGATTTAAACCAAAATAAAACACCACAATCATGCAAAAAGAATGAATTCATTAAAGAATAAATTTATTATATAAGCTGAAATCTGTGCTTTTGAAAGATATGAAAAAGTTGTTTACAGATAATAAACTGGTCTTTCTAGAGGTCTTTCTATTGGTTAATGATTTCTTTGATTTCAACCAATGAAAAGGCTTGTTTATGTGTTTGTCTTGTAACTAAGCTTCCTTGTTATATAGATTCATTCTGCATAAATAAATGGTTCCCCAAATGCCTTTATCACCAATATTTTTGAAATGATTTACACTTCTTTTTTTTTTCTTCTTTTTCTGGTAAATATAAATGCTACAATGCAAAATATCATCATTCTTCAACTCTGGGACCTCACGAAGCATTGTAGGAACTCATGAAAGACAGACAACACTTTGCAATTCAGAGCATTTCCCTTCTGCAGAGTGCGGGCTGGGAGGTCCCATACCACCTCAGCAAAAGGAGGTGGGGAATTCGTCTAGCTGGCGATCCACATCACGGGTGGATGAAGTAGGCTCCCGCCCACCCGTCCAACTATCCCGCCCATCCGCCCGCTCTGCTCTGCTCTGCTCCGCACAATTAGGGTTTCTCATACTCTTCGTGTCACGGTGTCGTGTCCGATCGAGCTCTCCTCGCCATAGCCATCGCTTGGATCCCACCGACGAGTCGCTGGTTTGCAATCTCCTGCGAAATTTTCCTGTTTTCCCTGTCATGACCCTGCTGAATGATATGTTCGTGTAGAGGCGCGTGAAATCAGGCGATGATTTTGAGGTCTTTCGGCAATTGGGAGATGCAATGATATGATTTTGGCGTGGTTCGTCGGGTTCCGTGGCTGGAGGTCCGTCTCGAGCGTGAGGAACAGGACGACAAGACGGGCGCTGCGGCGAGTTGCTGCGGTTCTGCGACCATGGGAGCGTGGGCGGAGTCTGTGCAGGTCGGTGAAGCTGTTCAGTTTTGGTGGGTTTTGAGTGCATTGGGGAAGAGTGATCGGGTGTCTGAGTGAGGTTGGAAAATGGAGGCCTGGTTAGAGAGTGGTCGAGAATGAACCTGAGATTGTTTCATTGGATGTTGAATTTGGGAGAGGTTGTGGAGTTTTTAGGACTTGACCTATGCTGAGTGTGCTCATTCTGGGCAGGATGACGCGCTTACCTTCGAATGGCGAGATGTGTTGACTATTTGATAGTGCTTATCCAGCACTTAGTCGATCCGGGATTAGGAATGGGGATGATTTTTAAGTTTCGTAGAATAATTTGTGAATTTTTTTGTTTGATGTAGGTTTGTGTCTTTGATATGCGACGAGGGCAACAAGAAGGCCACGAGCTTGACAAAATTCTCTTCTTTTACCCGGTGGACTGTCCCCTCTCTTCGCAACTCTCTGTCGTGGGGCTCAGTGAAGGTCTGATCACTTTCACAAGGTACTCATCAGTTGTTACCACGACCGCGCATATTCGATTTCTGAGATGATTAGTGTTATTCTCACTAGGACTGCTTCAGCTCTTTCCATGAGCATTTCTGAAGCATTTTTAAAATTTATTTTTACCTTATATTTTTAATTTTATGAGCGTCATGGTTGTAAGTGCGGGACTTGATGCATCAGAAATTGAGTATCTATGTTCTGTTTTGTGGCAGGATATTCTCGCCTGATAAACCTTGCCAGTTGATGCAAGCAGAGGGGCACTGTCATGTATTCTTTAATTGTGAACCCGACATATGGATGGTTATGGTGAGGGCCCAGCCGAACTCTGCTATAGAGTTGCTGATGTAGTTGTGAAAGTATTGTTATCTTAAGTTTCTTCAACCTCTGAGTTGCATGTCTCTTTTAGAATTGTAGTATGGCATTATATTTAGAGAAATTAATTATGTGAATCACTTGCCGACAGGTCATCGAGAAGAGCAAAGAAGGGGAAGAGGAGGTCAGATTCACAGCTTTAGAAGAGATGTTGAAGGAAGCTCATGACCTATTTGTCATGTTTTTTGGCTCCATCCGGGATTTGTTACAGAATCATCCCCTCGGAGATTTAGCTCGCAGCAGTTTGCATGCGTTCTTCCCTGATTACCTTGCAGGCATGATTCACTCATTCTTCCTGGAAGTTTTCTGTACGAAATTTTGTGTGAATTGTGAATTGGTGTTTGGAATTGTTTTTTAAGGAACTCCCAAACGGATTACGTCCATCGAAGTTTATTGTCGCCAATTTCAAGTAGCGAAAATGTAGCGACCTTTGCATTTGGATCATTGATTTGGTTTGTAACCAATGAAAAGCAGCTGTTACTTCGTGTGATTTTGTTACACTCGTCGCTGCACATTGGAATGCAGAATTTGTGGTAGGATCGAAGTTACGACTCCCATCAATATCAGAAGGTCTGACTGAGCGGGGCATGGTGGAGCCAGTTAATCTTGACCGCGACACCCTTCTTCAGGCACAGGTACAGACGTTCTTTAAGTATTTCGTATAAAATGGTCGGTAGGTTCTTTCTGTATGCTGTTATCTATTTCGTGTGTTGTATATGGCTTTAGGAACAGACAATTGATTGGTCTTGTGGTGCGGAAGTCTTTGGTAGGGCTCTTGGAGTCGTGGTTTGGAGGTGGAACCGTACGTCACACTCTGGTGCTATTTCACAATTATCTCGTTTTGAGCACGTTATCTGCGGTATGACTGCCTAAACCTATTCACATGGGGCCTAGTACTTCATAGCACTCAGTTAAATATATTTCCAGATGTTGAGTTGAATTATGCCATACTTCTTTACATGAGGATCAAGCTCTCATGTGCTTCTTGCAATTTGACTGGATGCCAACTTTAGCTTATTCATTGTTTTCCTGGATGTAATAGGAGGATACCGCAAGACTGTATAGCTATGCATCACTCCGATTGACACCTGCTGCAATCTCACTATCAAAACGCAAAAGTCAAGCTCCCAGCTTATCTGCGATATCTGCTACTGGTATGAACGAACTTTAGGATCTTACGTTTTAAGCCTCTTTAGCTCTCTCAGATGTTATTGTAACTAACTTTGGGTTCAGATGTGACCTGTCATGTCGGAATATGTTGTGAAGCTGTAAGGAAATGCATTGTTTAAGAGCTCATCGTCGATAGTCATGGAGAGTGACTACATGTTGGATGGTCGTGCTAGCAGGTCAATATACGTTTCGGAATTTGCTCAATAATGGAACATCAGCTTCTTCTCAGACACCTGCAAGTGAAGAAGAGGTTTCTTCTCTTTTGCAGCGAGATTCAAAGAAGGTTTCACGGCCTATGAAACCTGATGGCTGGTGGAAAGAAGGTGACAATTTTCTGGATACCGATTCTTGGGGTTCTGAAAATAAAGGTGCTATTCGCAGTGAGGCGTCTCATCCTACCATTTGGCTAAAACGCACCAAGGAGGAAATGCGATTGTGTGTTTATCAACTTCGGACAGTTACGCTAATCATGTTGGTTCCAACCTGCTCTTCTGTCAATGGCTTGGACGGATTTGCGCTATTAAGAGGACAGCTGCTTGAGAAGGTAGGTATCTTGTTATCTATGTCGACCTGTTTAGCGGCTTTCTCCAGTTTGGAATTGAGCGACAGCTCATGAACTTGACGTAGTTCTCGGTTATTTTGTGAGGGAAGTTCAAAGTTTTCATTGTTAATCAAGATTAGAGAACATTATGCTTGTTAAATACTGTCTTTGAAAGCATAGCCGAATGACCCGTGTCACTCGTCTCTTTCTTCACTCAGGGGGCTCAGGAGGTACAGAAACTTGAAGAAAGGATATCAAAAGAGTGGAAAGGAATAAATGCATCTCATGTTCCAGGATATCGGTATCTTTGCTGTGATCGCATCAACAAGACCGTCAAGGCATCCCCTCCTAGCAAAGTGGCTACACTCTCCAAGGTGTCTTATTCTACTGTAATCGTGAACGCCCAGACTATTTTGTAAAATTTCTGTGGCTGCTCTTTATTAAAACTTATTCATTTATGCTTAACTCAATGTGCATTGCAGGAGTCACTAGCAGCACTTAACGTCGTCCGGGCAGACGTTGACCTGGTAAAAGGAAGGCTGGAGGGTGAGAAATCTGGGCACGATCCAGACCTTGAAATTTGTGTTCGAACAAAGCAGAATGCTTGGTTGGTTGTACGAGCTAGAGGCGGCCAGGAATTATACACCGTGCAAGAGCGTGCTGGTGATACTTTGTTGCTAGCTTCCGATGCGGTTGAAAAACTCAATAAGAGGTAAGGCTTCTTGGTTACTTGCCCTGTTGCTTTTTATGTTATAACAGGAAGAGGTCTTTGCTAATTTAGTTTGTAAATTTTAGGAGAAAGTATTGTCACAATTCGATTTTTACTTGTAGTGGTTCCATATGTGAATTAAACTTGTTCCAGTTGTTGCTGTTTTTTACTTGCTGTTCTGAGTCATTGATGTGTGTAATGTATCCAGGCATTTCAATGGACACTTCTCTTCTGATTAAGTCTATCGTCAACACGTTGGAAGTGACAACTATCATTATTATGCAAACATCTCAAGGTAGTAGCTATTGGCTTCCGTCTAATAATCAATTTGTACAGACAGTTGCAGTTTGGATAAGGGAAAATTGTATGCCTGAAGCTGAAAGGTTTTTTTTCTTTAATTTGGGAGTGTGCGCCAAACTACTTTCCCTTGGCTAGCCAACAATTTCGAAGTAAACTTATTCGAGAGTAGTCACACATGAGAATGTGCATATATTTTAACATATATGTCGGAGTCTTCAGGAGAGATCGTTTGAGGAAACCACTAAATTGAGATCTAGATTTTGATCTTAAACCGTTCGCATTGTGGAGATCTATGTCTCAACTTTGCTTAAGGCATAACATGTGAACCTGCGTGCTACTCATGAACAAACGTCGCATGGCATCTTCGTATTAACTCACATGAGATACGAACTTGTTTTTGTGTATGGTGCAGGAGGTCTAGTCAACTGTTTTTGTGAGGAATTCTCAAGGTTTCTTCATGGATCCTATGTCACCACAAAGAAAAAATAGGGAAGAAGAGCTATGCTGACGCGGACTTGAGTGAGCTCGTTTGCCATCAATTTTGTGCTTACAGAGGCTACGGTTGAGCTCGCTTCAATCCTGATTCTAAAAACAGTTAATCGCAAAAGGGTTTTGTTGTATTGGCAAGAGTCCGGATAAACTAGGATTATGCGTCCCAAGCCTCTGGAAATTTAACATCTGATCTTTTCCGGCCAATGACATCTTTGCAAATGTATAGGTAGTGAATTGCATATTACAGAAAATTGTAAGAGTATGCTTTTATTGCTGGTATATTTGCACTTTAGAACAGTTATGTGCAATTGTCCATGGCCTTGGCCAAAGTCTCAGCATTATGCAAATCTTGTTCTTTGCACAAATCCAACGAAGACTAAATCAAGCCTTCAACTTGGGCTTTCTATTGATTTAGAAGGGTGCTTAGTCTTTGCAAGTGTATCATGACAATGGAGATTACATCCACAACATATTAAGTGCAAGCAATGCTACCCACTTAGAAAGAAGAGAGATACATGCAAGTAGCTTCTGTGTGAGATACTCCTAGATCATCGCTCGACCTTGCCACAAAAATTCATTCAATTTTTTCATACACAACTATCACATGTCCATGAATTTTGAATATGTACAACCTATCTTTCCAATGAGATTGTATTGCCAATAAAGATAAGAGATAATGTTTGTCAAGATGTTGACAAATTAGTTATCATATAGCTTGACATACTTGGCTTGAACCACAAGGTCAAGTTGATGTAGAGCACACTACATCTACACAACCCCATCACTAAAAGCCTCAACCATTCTTGATATGATACCAAAAATCGACCTAGTCATTGTTTGCTCACCATCTATGTTAATTCTAATCAGTTATGTTATCCATTTTGAAGCAATGACATCCAAAAGTTTTGCATATGTAGTGAAGATTACTTTGGCTATTTTGTGATCAAAAAGCAAAATGGTAAGAAGATGGAGGTTGTGCAACTTCAATTGATGCTTAAATTGGACTCAAAAGTGAAGGTAAGAGGTGCCTTGCTTTGAATTAATGTCAAGAGTATGCAAAAATGTCCATTGCATGTAGATGATCTTAGTGATATTTTTTAAGCTCACAACACAAATCACCCTCACAAAACAAAACTACATGATTGAAAATATTTTTACATTCATTGTTCACTTTTGCTTATGCCTTGAAAGATCAACATCTCAGTAGTCGAGCTTCTCACAGAACAAGCATCACATTCATAGAACTTGGTCAAAATTCTCATCTTTTGGATTCGATACGAGGCTAAACTTCATTTCTACAAAGGATTTTTAGGAGGGTCTACAACTCCTTCACCATAGTGAATTTGACATGAATACCTTGACGTAACTATTGTGACTACATATCAATATTCTTCTACATGGATTGCTTCATAGGGCATTTCTTCCAACCATGCAAAGAAATATCATTAGGGCCTTATTTTAGGGCATCTTGATAAGCTTGTTTTAGAGAAATTAGGATTTTTTTGGAAAAATCCCATATTTAAAGAGGCTTGTTCATCACACATTTGGAGATCAATGTTTTGTCCTCACTTCAACTCTTATTCAATAGTAGGGAAGTGATTTGCAACTCTTAAAAGTCTTGTAAGGAACTATTTGATTTATGGTGATTAGGTTCACATTGTATCAATTTGTTGCCAAAGTGATTGAGTTTGGGTTGGTTTCTTGACTTTGAAACATAAGATTTAGGTTTCTAGGTTGAAGATGAGATGGAAATTCTTTGTGCAAGTATGACCTACAGATCTGTTTGCTATTGACATTTTTCCAAAATTATCATCAATTTCTTTGATATTCCAGTATTGGCAATCCCATTATCTTCAGGAACTCTGTTGGTTGTTGTTTAGCCGGCTCTGAATTTGTATAGACACAAGTTAGTTGTCATTGCCTGAGTTTCATAGGACATTATTTATTTTTATTTTACTTTTCTTGGATTTTTTTAGTGCAGTGTGTACAATGCACATTGCTAAAGGGTAATGCAGCTATTGAGTTCTTCAGCAACAGAGCCAGTACAGGTATGTGTTTTCACAAGATTAAGACCTTGTTGCCATGAGTGTACTTGTGTACCTTCTGGGATTATGTACATGATTCATATCCTAAGTACCTAAATATTATGCAGAAGAATTTAGACGCCCGTTGGATGTAGACCCCTGGAGTGTTATCTGTCTACTGAGCTGTTGCACTGATGTAGCCTGGATGGGGTGCCATCCAGTGTGGGCTCCTTGAAGTAGGGCAATGGATTCTTGCTGGTCCCTGCATGGGATTGATGCCCACATGTGGTACCTCCTTGTGTGTGTCATAAATTCCTCCATGATGAGTGAGAGAGAGATCCCCTTTATTCACTCTATAAAAGAGTGGTACAACAACCACTGAAGTCTGAAGTTGTAGAGTTTTTCATGAAATGAGGACATCCTTTTGGTGGTAGTGGACACAAGCCTCATTTCTATGCATGATTTGATGGGATCTGATCCTGTAACTGCTAAAATGATCAATTGGAACTCTATGTGGATGTTTCTCCATACTTGACCTCAGTGAGAAGAAGACCCACAGCTTAGCTGTTCTGAATTTCCCATTTAAGCTGCATGCACTCATAGTTGTGGACCCAGCTGTAGTTTCTTTTTCTTTTTCTTTTTGAGTCAGAAGAGAGCATGAATTCAGAGAAATAATTCTGCCAATTCAGTTTAACTTACTTCACATTCCTATGCTTTTATGACTCCCCCTCCCCATACACACACTTACACCTCACAGTCCCATTACAAATGAGAATATTCTATTTAAAAACTTTAAAAAATATTAACTACTGGCTCTTGTGACTTACATGCTTGTGGGATGATGTCCTTAGGATGAACAGTTCCAAGTCTGATTTTGTCTGCATTTGAAAAAGCTTCAACAATTTGGCCCCCCCCCCATGTAAACCTATGAAGTGAACAAAATGAAAGGGGGATTGAGGATGATGATGGTGATGGAATTGTTATTATTATTATTATTATTATTTTATTTCATACAAAAAACAAAACATGCTTGTTTCTGTTGTGCATGTGTGCCTGTTTTGAGGTACTCTACTGTCTAGATACAAAATTTGGGGTCAAACTTCAGGTCTTTCAAGACCTTGCTTCTAATATTGTGGCATTGTTGGATTCCTCTGAATAGTCTAACCACTTTTTTAGAATATTTATCAATAGACTAATAGTTTTAAGACATTATCATGCTTGGTATTATGATTCACAGCATAATTTTACAACAAACGTGATCTGATTTTACTAATATGTTTTTGTACAGAAATCTATTATAACTTTTACCAAATTGTATTATTATGCTTTAAAAATATTAACATATATTACATATTACATACTTTGAATGTTTTCTTTGATTCAAAAAGCAGTCACTCATAATTCTACCTGCAATGTAAAAGCCACCTGTTTTTTGAACTGCATCCCATTAAGCCTCTCTTCATTATGTTGTAAAATTTCACAAATGAATTATATGTGGAGTCCACTCCCATATTAAAGGAGAGAACATTCTATTGCAAAACATTGGTTAAATTATCCCATCACCATGTTAACCTAAATCTTCCATTACTCATTGTATTTAAAATTTATGTTGCATTTAAACAAATAAATAAAACACTATTTTTTAAGATTTGATTATGTGAGACATTTAATTAAATATATGAATAGAAACTTAAAGTTGCATATTGTATGAGTATTCAAACATATACAATATGGAAAGCATGAAGAAAAGCACAACTTATATGTTTATAGTTGAATTGTTGTTGGAAACCTGGGAGTAAGTCTAAATGTTCGATAAATTCTCAAAGTCTGTTTATAAACTACAGTTTTTTTCTTCCACAATGTCTAACAAATATTAGTGTTTTATAAGTCAAACTTACATATTACACAATGTTATAATTAATTGCGAGAATTGAAGCAATGTTAATATGCACTGATGTTTCTGGAATAAGTTCAAAGTTTTGAATAATTTTAGAAAAGGTGCAAAACTAAACCAAAAGATATTGTGTAACTTCCTTGGAGTTAGTGTTGGTAAAATAGACTGCAAATCATTAGGTCAAACTGGGTCAAATTATAAGCAGTTTTTCAGAATATCTGATTAGAATATTTTGAAATCTAAAAAACAAATGGTGGGAGTCATCAAATGGAATATCAAAATTTTAATGTTGTTAATTCAGTTACTATCTTGTTATTATACAAACATGAAAAGTAAGTAGTACCATGTTTTCTAGAGGTAAAACTTCAATTGAAATGCTTCAATATCATATCTTGTGTCTTTTGTCATGGAAGTCATTAGATGTGATTGCATAATTACAAATTAATTTTATTATAATTTTTTTTTATGTATGTGAGTGCATTGTGCATACATGTATACATTCTACAGATTATTAGTAGATAGTAATCACAATTTGTATTATCCTCACTCACAAAATTTCATTAATTTATTCCACAGGTGTTGCAAAAAAGTAGGTAAAAAGGGCATCGAGGAGCCAGCTATGGCAAAGCAGGTCGAACCCAACAGAAATCCAACACCTTTTAGTCTGCCCGAAAAAGGAAGTAGGAACCGGAAACAAAGGCACAAAGGCAAAAGTAGGAAGGCGGCGTTCCCGGGAGAGGATCCAGTTCGCAAGGAGGTTCCCAAGTGGGGAACACGCCGCGGAGGGTGATATACACGGCGCATGGCGTCTGGTTCCTCCTCCACCCCCGCGTCTCTGTAGCTCCGTTGCCAGCGAGATCATCGCCGTGGCCACTGATCACACCGTGATGCGATCAGTGCAGTGAAAACCCACGCGTAGATTTAACGTAACTTCCATCTACTCATCTCCCCCCGCATGCCAGCCAAAACCCAACAAAAAAATAAAACAGAAACAAAAAAAAGCAAAAAAAGCAAAAAAAGCAGAAAACGAAACTGATACAAAGTTGGCCCGTCTTCTGCGTATTCGTCAGTTTCGCCTACTGGTCATTTCCTCCTCCTCCTCCTCGCTCTCTTCATCAGGCAGTGACGCAGAAGAAGAAAGGAGTGAGCGGCTGAGTTTCGGTACCTGACACTCTACCTCAGCTAGTTTCGATCTTGCTGCTGCTGCTGCTGCGACTCACTCTGGTTGTTCTGTACCTTGATGTGACTGACAGGTACGCGAGGTGGTTGTGTAAAGGCTTTCAATTGTGGGTCGTGCGTATGATAGATCTGGTGAGAATGCGTGTGAGTGTTGTTGTTGGTCGTCGCTACGGGTGGTCGGTGTGGATGTTGGGTGATGTTTGGTTTTTCGTTGGGGCGTTTTGGTGGTTTTTGTGAGCTTTTTGGGTAGGTGGAGTTGCGGTTATGGTGTGTTGTTGGAGGGGGGGGAGGGGTTGATTTGGGTGTGACTTGTTGGTGGTGGAGTGCGGAGGGGAGTGGGATCGAGATGCAGATCTGACAAGCTTTGATAAGAGTTCCAACGGTTTTTCTTCTGAGAGTGTGTCCTTTACGGATGAAAGTGAAAGTTTGATGAAGTTCTCTACGCCGATCTGGAAAAAAGATAAAACAATTTGGAAATCTGTTACAGTATTTTTTTTTCGGTTCGAATGCTGCTATGCTGAGGTTTTGTTTTTGACGAGGATGCTTCTAGCAAAGTGTGCTTGTTTTGTTTTTGTGGGGATTATATATATGCGATTTGGGGAGGATATTTTCTGATCGTGTTGAAGCGGATTGGTTATTTTTCAGAGTGGAGCTATTTCTCTGCATTTCGGGGTAAGTCCTGCAGAGGCTATATCAGTGCTGTCCAAAATGGGAAACCCAGGAAAGGTCGATGCCTATGTCCCGAAGAACATCCTCATCACCGGTGCCGCGGGGTTTATCGCCTCCCACGTTGCCAATCGGCTGATCCGAAACTACCCGCAATACAAGATCGTTGTGCTGGACAAGCTGGATTACTGCTCGAATCTGAAGAACCTCTTTCCCTCCAAGGCCTCAAAGAACTTTAAGTTCGTCAAGGGCGATATCGGCAGCGCGGATCTGGTTAACTACCTTCTCATCACGGAAGGTATTGACACTATCATGCACTTCGCTGCACAAACCCACGTCGACAACTCTTTCGGAAATAGCTTCGAGTTCACGAAGAACAACATCTATGGTACTCACGTTCTCCTCGAGGCCTGCAAGGTTACCGGCCAGATCAAGCGCTTCATTCACGTTAGCACTGACGAGGTTTACGGGGAAACCGAGGCAGAGGCTATCGTAGGGAACCATGAGGCGTCTCAGCTGCTGCCCACCAACCCCTACTCAGCCACGAAGGCTGGCGCAGAGATGTTGGTGATGGCCTACGGGCGCTCTTATGGCTTGCCATGTATCACCACCCGCGGTAACAACGTATATGGACCCAACCAGTTCCCCGAGAAATTGATCCCGAAGTTCATCTTGCTGGCAATGCAGGGGAAGCCACTGCCGATCCACGGCGACGGATCCAACGTCCGGAGCTACCTGTACTGCGAGGATGTGGCTGAGGCCTTCGAATGCGTACTGCACAAGGGAGTCATTGGGAATGTGTACAATATTGGCACGAAGAAAGAGCGACGCGTGATCGATGTAGCGAAGGACATCTGCGGGCTTTTCAACTTGGACTATAAGAAGTCGATCAAGATGGTCGACAACCGGCCGTTCAACGATCAGCGCTACTTCCTGGACGATAAGAAGCTGATCGAGCTCGGGTGGCAGGAGAGGACAAGCTGGGTCGATGGTCTGCAGAAGACTAAGGATTGGTACATGAGCCACCCCGATTGGTGGGGCGACGTGTCTGGCGCTTTGGTGCCGCACCCGCGGGCGCTGACAATGCCTGGAGTGGAGAAGCTCGCTGAGATGCAGAGAGGTGAGGCTATTATCACTCTGGAGGAAGACAGTGCACCCTCTGCTAAGGAAAATGGGGCGGCTCTATCGAAGGACGGGAAGGAACAAGGAGTGGTCGACGAGATCGTATCGAAGTCATCCCCGGCCAACAACGGAGTGAAGAATTCGGATCTGAAGTTTTTGATCTACGGGCGGACGGGATGGCTCGGTGGGCTTCTCGGGAAGATGTGCGAAAAGCAGGGTATTGCGTATGAGTACGGGTCCGGGCGCCTGGAGAACAGATGCTCCTTGGAGGCTGACATAGCCGCGGTGAAGCCGACCCATGTGTTTAACGCGGCGGGTGTCACCGGGCGGCCGAATGTGGATTGGTGTGAGAGCCACAAGGTGGAGACAATCCGTGCGAATGTGGTGGGTACGTTAACGCTGGCAGACGTGTGCAAGCAGAACAATTTGGTGTTGATAAACTACGCGACTGGTTGCATCTTTGAGTACGATGAGAAGCACCCGCAGGGCAGCGGGATCGGATTCAAGGAAGAGGACACACCTAACTTCGCGGGGTCGTATTACTCGAAAACGAAGGCAATGGTGAGTTCGGTGGTAGCCATGGTCTAATGGGTTTTGATCTGCTGTGCCAATTCGTTTGGTTAAAAGAAGCTATTTCCACCTTGGGTCCTACAGTATGTCTTGTGGAACGTATGAACCGAGGCAAAATTGCACTCTCTAGCGGACCCTTCTGGGGAATTTGTCGGGACTGAAATATTATTGTCGTTTGAGGCGGGATTGTATCAAGATTCTGTGCGATTTGGGTGCCTGTTCAGGTTGAGGATCTGTTGAATGAGTTCGACAATGTGTGCACATTGCGGGTGCGGATGCCAATCTCCTCCGACCTGCAGAACCCACGGAACTTCATCTCAAAGATCGTAAGATACCAGAAGATTGTGAATATCCCCAACAGTATGACCATCTTGGATGAGCTGCTGCCGATCTCGCTGGAGATGGCCAAGCGCAATTTGACAGGTATCTGGAACTTCACGAACCCAGGAGTAGTGAGCCACAACGAGATCATGGAGATGTACAAGGAATACATCGACCCCGAGCTCTCATGGGTTAACTTCACTCTCGAGGAGCAAGCCAAAGTGATCGTCGCTGCCAGGAGCAACAACGAGATGGACGCGTCCAAATTGTCGAGGGAGTTTCCGGAGGTGCTCGGCATCAAGGAGTCTTTAAAGAAGTTTGTCTTCGAGCCCAACAGGAAGACCCCTGTGAGCAAGTAGATGGCAGCAACAGCATTAGGAACAGGACTTATCATTAATTTTTTCCCTGATTCTCATGTCTAGAAGCAGGCATGCGACTCGTGGTGAACGTCGAGGTCGCTCACTCATTCGGTGACCATTGTCGAATATGTAGGTAGCAAACAACGACTTAGCCTATAATTCTCCTGTAATACAAAACCTGTTCTTAATTAATTGTCACTTCGTAGTGGTAGAACAATTTTGTTTGAGTAGGCGATTTCTTGAAAATCACTTTTTTGTCAGTAAAGGCCTATTTTGAGCATTCCAATCGCGGCCTTCAATCTCGGAGTGTCTTCATGAACCTTTCAATTAACGTGTCATCGTAGTAGTTGCAGAATGCCAGGTTTTCTTTCAGTGGAAATGTGAGTTACTGTTCAGCGGAGGCTGAGCACACAAACACAGATGTGTCACTAATGATTAGTATATCATTGTTGGGACAGATCAAAAACTGTCATATCTGGACGAGATGCAGGGGATGGATTCAGTTGGAAAGAGACGAGGAATTCAGTGGAACTCCATGTCCCAACCGAGCATCTCCTCCTGAACATCCAAAATAGAGGATTCGGCATCTTAGTGCAGGTTTTTCGCTGCACATGGGCTTATTGAATTAGAGAGGAACTTCCCCATCGTATATTCCCGGGACCTCTTCCAGGGTGGTGCACATGGAGGTTTGCCTTTCTAAGCAACTGGAGAAGTGGGAGCAGGATTCCTCGGAGGCGAAGCTCACAGATGTACATGTGGACAGCAAACAGGTGAATTTCTGCATCTTGTTTTCATGCTTGTGCTCTTCATTTACTCTTCACGCTTCGATTCCCATTCTGCTCGCATGGATTTAACAAAAGTTTACTCTTTTCTTTTTTCTTTTTTTCTTTTTTTCTTGATAGAAATGGTGTCTGATAGCTGCGTACAGGAAGGAGACCTTCGATCCGAATGGGTTTTTTGTCCAGGTTTCTTTGTTGAAGATTAACAAAACAACACAAAACGAAGTTATTGTGAGGCAGTGTGTTCTATCTGTGGGTAATTCCTGAAGGGTTGGAATTATTGCAAATTAATGAGTATTAAACATTGTATGAAATGAAAGTAATTTGTTAGGTTATATCAAACACGTAAATATTTGATTGTGCACCACCAGAATACGTATCTTCACATCAATAGAGTTAGCACACGATGACACACAAACCTTAAGTTGTGTCAACGCTACCACACATTTGTAGAGATACAGAGTGTACGATTGCGGCCGGGTCTAACAAATTACTTCGGTAAGTGGATGTGGACAAAATGTAAGTCGTCAGAGAATCCTTGGCACACAAACACATGATGGTGCTAGTAGTGACGCAAGGACACAAACAAACAAGAAATGATCCATGTTTACGTGATACTTAGAGTCGACGAGTAATAAGTAAGTTTCTTAAATCAGTGAAGTTCGATAACCATTGTTTCAGAGTGCAACTGCGCAGGCTCACCAGCTACAACGCCCGTGCGGGCAACTAAAACTCGCAACCCTACGCAAACCATCCAGAAGCAGCCATGTCTACTGACTCTTGACGTACTCCCTCACGATATTAAGTCCCTCGGTTTCTTCACCGTAATCCTTCACCACTACGCAGGAGCATCCAACAACCTTGCGAGCCTTTCCCTCGGAGTCGATCTTGCAGAGACCAGCCCATTCACCGAGCTTCTTGGCGCTGGGGACAGAGATAAGGTTCACGTTGTGCTCCTGGCACAAAGCCTGCACAAGCTTGGTGTAGTCAGGCTGGTTGCAGTCCTCGGCGAGCACGCACAGCTGAGCGGCGTGCTTCTCGATGGCCTTGGCGCTTTCGTGAAGACCCTTGGCGAGGCCGTCGTGAGCGAGCGCCTTCTTCAAAACGATCTGCAACCCTGTGAGGATGTCCATGGGCTCCCCGAGCGCGGGCTCTGCGGCGGCCGTCGCCTCAGCTGGGGCGTCGGCCATCACCTCCTCATTGTCAGCCATAGCGAAGCAGAGATCGACAAACGAGTCAAAAAGTTGGGGTTAGGGTTAGGCGCTGGGTGGCGCAGCCTCTCTTCTCCTCAAGGCTGATGCTGTGCGAAAGAGAACAAATTGTTTCATTTCCGGCCAATTTATGTCGAGAAAAAATATCGGGCTGGGCTGGGCCGGGTGCCACCCGCGCCGCCCATCAAAGCGGAGCTGGGTCGGCCATCGTATCCCATACGGAACTACCGCAGAGACGTATACATACGCTTCTCACTATATGTGGTAAAATAAAGGACAGGGTAACTTTTCCACACCTCTTAGAGGAAAGTGATTAAGCGACTGTAAATATTCCGATATTTACCTTAAGCTTCACCATTTCTCCTCTTTTCGTCTTATTTCCGTTTCTCTTATTATCTTACCTTTTCTTTTTCTTTTTCTTTCTCCACTATGTTGCAATTTGTTTTTATAATTTGTTTTATTCCATGAACTAGAATTCTGCTTAAGTACGTCGTGATTGCATGTTAATAACTGCAATACATGGTTTATCAATATTATAAACATTACAAGCTGCATTAATTCAGAGGAAGGTTGAGTAACTTCTGTTCTGTTTAATTGCTAAGCATACAAAGTTGTCTACAATGGAAAATTATATAAGTTAATATAAAACTTGGCGTTTTTGTGGGTTGTGGAATTATCATCTTTCAAAACTGGATTACATCAACAACAATTTAATTAAAAGAAAAATGAAAACTTTTACATCTATAATATATGAATTAAATCTAAATTCAACACCATTCAGTATATTCAGTGGAAAAAAATCATCAGAAAAAAAAAACTAAGAATATAATATCAATTATTATCGAAGAATTTATTTCGTGAAAAAATGACGAAATAACAGAAGCTCAGATGTTTCATTGGTTAGAATTGACAACTATAAGCAATCATGTCTATACTCATTAATGCAGACTTTTGTGTTGGTGATAATCAAGGTGGCTTAAAAAATTAACTGGTCCAAAGAAAAAAAGACCAACAAAGAGTTACAATTCACTTTAAGCTAACACGTGCATGATTTACAAATTGTAAGGTAAATTCTCAATCAATCGCCAGTTTCTTAGAAGGGGAGAGAATTATCGTCATATTTTGTTACAGGAAGTCATGCTTTCATGACAAAAAATAAAATAAACTGAAACAAAACAACACCATGTTTGCAGCAGCTAACTTGCCTACAGCTCTAACAACAACCCAATCTTTTAATGAATTAATAATATAAGACCCTACTTAGCTATTCTTCAACTTACAACTTTGGTTCATAAGTAAGTCCGAAAGCAACGTCCAAACTGTAGACTTGTTTGGAAACTGCCCATGTATTTCCTCCGTGCTCCAGCCAGATTTCGAAGATTCAACGACCCTCCATCTTCTGCTTCCACGTTGAATCTGCGAATGAATAAAAGAGAAGCAAACTATCAGTATTCAGCTGCTACATACATATCAACTCAGATAGTCCAAGAGCAGTTAAGAGCACTCAGGTGCTATCAGTCATAGCAACGATGAGACCCTCCCCCTAAGGCTCCACTAACATTCAACGAGAGCAATTAACACTGCAGACTTCTCAGTATGGAGAGATGCAGATGATAAGGAGAATCTCAGCACTGTCATTGTACCTGACAAATGTTTCCATTGCCCAACCAATACTGCACCCCCGCCCAGTCGATGTGCTGAAACACGTGGGAGTAAACAGCTGACACTGGGTACAAGAAGTTGCCCACTATTCCAGCTACAAAGACCTGAATTGCCAACAAATAATCAGTTACAGGCTGGCTCAATCGTCTCACAGATGATAACAGCGATTAAGGTGTGAAAATTGTGATATAACGGTTCCATGAACCACTCGAATTCAAAAAAACCAAAAAAAGAGAGCCAAAATTACAGTTATTCCAAATCAATCAAGACGAGTCACAGGTGAGCCAGCGAAACAAGAGGAGAGGAGAGGAGAGGAGAGGGGAGGTAAACCTTGACATAATTGTAAGAACTGATCGAGACTGGATCCTTCCCAGGTGACAATGCATTGATTAAATCGATCACCACTGTTGACAAGTGACGCATAGACGACAATTCAATCAAGGTCGCTGTTGCTATACACCCTGTCAACCACAGACCTGCGAAGACCATAGTCCATCAGCGCGAGAATCACTAAACCTCAAGAACAGAAAACACGATTCAAAATAGTAGTGATATGTCATGCAGTAATTCTGGTGGATAACAAATGCGTGCCACGAACACAATCGTCATTCAATTAATGCTATACTTGGGTCCATTTCCATCGAATTGAAAATGAAATAGTCGTCATTGAGCCTAAATTGGTTTGGATATTGGAACCACTAACGCAAGTATAATTTGCAATTTCACTGAGTTCACAAAAATCACCCGTAGTCCACGAAGAGTAAAGTTCTGCGGAAGCTCCCATCAACATCCGCATCGCCACCAGAAGATGAACACACGAGGTGAGATATGGAAATACAAAGCTCCAAGAAGCCCAACAATGCAAAAAGAACAATCCGCGGTTCATCCAGTAATTATACGTTGTATTGTACGTTTCCAGTACAATTGTTTGTTTCTGCAAATAATTCCAGTACCTGCAAGAAAAGCATAAGGGGTAAGTTTCGACACGTAAGAAGTCTAACTGCAAGAAACCACAATGCTCACCATTACTTTCAGCCAAAAACTGCTCACTAATATTCAAGCAAATGCTCGAGGCAACATAAGAATAATACCTGGAAAAACTCAAATCCTTAGCAAGAGGATGGAAAAAAATAGCTCTTTCTGGTGAGCTGATAACGCGCTGATTTGCTCCTATCAGGTAAAATGACAATCATAAATCCATTGGACAACCTTTATAAAATTAGAACATCAACTTCACGCCTTCCTAGCATCATAAATGAGGTAGTTTTAAAATTGTGGATGTCAGAGAATAAGTAACACTAACCAGCAACTGCAGCTAGGGTCATATCATCTGAATATCCACCTTCCCGTAGGCCTGTGACCATACCATATCGGTCGGTCCTGAAGTCTTCTGCATGCATCTACAATTCCGACTTTCATTTAAATGCTACATCAGTGAGTTCTCATTTGGTAGGACAAGTTTTATATCTACGTCGAGTTGAAGCCAGAGCAAAGCATGTGCTCAGGGTACTTACTTCTAAAAACATCATCAATACGCCTGAAGGAACTGAGAAATGGGGAAGCGATGAACAGGAAATTGTTTTATGCAAAGTAGTAAGACTAACCATCATGCAGCCACCCCAGAGGAAGAAAGTCCGACCAAAACCAAATCCTATAGAACAGGGCTGGTACAATCAACAGAAAACCGGTAAGTACAAATCATCCACAAACCATCCAGCAAGAATGGCTATGAAGTTGATGCAGGCAATTAGCCGATTAGTTGTATACTTCAAGCATTAGAAAAGAGCACAAGAAGATTGCAAGGAAAAAGAAAGCAAAAAGTGGATACCAGGTGGTACTCATAAATGCAGTAGCTGCTAATACTACCCGAAGGCAAGTCGAAAGGATATCCTGTCAACACAAAAATCTGCAGAATCCATAAGGGAATGATTCATAAACTAAATCAGCTGCAAGGTCTAGCTAATGTACGAAAACAAGATCTCGAGACAACAAACTCGGGATCTACATCGGGGGAAGGGCAAGCCAAAACGTTGCATGCTTCACTGGACGGAGCGTCATGAAGAGACTACAACATAGCATATACCTCAGGGTGCTCGATCATGTGAGCTACAAGGGCACCGATGCTCCCCGGACAGAGTTGCACATCATCGTCCAGAAAGAGTACATACTTGCTGTCCTTGTGCATGGCATCCACGCCTGCCTATCAGAAAACCAGAATGTAAGAGAGAGATGTATCGACTCTTCGAAGTTTACACCGAGGCTTTGCGTCAACCGGCGTATTTCGCAGAGCATCAACTCTAGTCTAATCACAGCGATTGTAGATTCAGAGGCAAAGCAATTAGAAACGTATAAATTTGTAGTTAGAATACCAGCTGGTTATGTATTTTTTGGCTGCACGTTGTAGAGTAACCAGCAACTAGTAATTTTGCATCCACTTCACCCTGACAAAAGACCACATTGCCTCGTCAAAACAAAGATTTATGTTCAGAAAAGCATTGCAAATCAACATCTATATATTATTACTTGACAGTGAATGGCAGGTAGGGCTGCACTAAATTCTCTAGTACCGATAAGTTTATCACAAGACGATATTCCAGTCTCATAGACAGTGTCTATCCTTGATAATGTGTTCGTGAAAACCTTCTCATGAGCAGCTCCAGCCATCTCATTCCCTATTTCCTCGTTTGGCTTATTTATCCCCCTTGCTAGAACATCCACATACATCACTTCATATTTTGTCATCCACTCACATCCTGAGCTGAACAAGTATGAAGCAGTAAACGCGATATATACATTTCCGAACTCGAGCCATCTCCATAAGACATCTATATAAATTTTGTTGTGAAACCGCATTAGATTAGTTGAAGGCAGAAGTTTCAAAGGTGGCCTTTGCTCTTGGGAGCTTCGCACACCAGCTCGCTTTTTACAATCTTATCAAGTTCGCGGTGTTCCTTCAAAGGTGTGGTGCCGATGCTAAGAAAGAGGCGCTACCCAAAAGTGTTGGTTTTGAAACCGTTCAGTTATGATGTAGCTGTTAGCAAGAAATAATAAAGAAATGTGAATGGGTGCATAAGCAAACCTTCAGATCACGCATCAGCTGCAAGATCACCTCACATGCTGGGTCCTCCTTGCTCTCCACCACGAAGAGGAATTCTAAAGGTCCTCCATACATGGACAATACCTACATCCAAAAAATCTTCAATATCAAACCACATTTGCAATTGGAGAAGTAATCCCTTTCTCAAGCCCATTTGCTTGATAACGCCTATGTTGACCTGAGTATCCTCCCTTAGGCATTCCGCGACTTACATTTCTCCACCAATGGCAATAAAGTATAAATATAATGTTTGAATTAAGTAAAGGTGATGAGATTTGCCATGAAGAGGAGTAAAAAATTAAAAAAATCATCCCAACGTAACAAGACCAGCAAAACATCGTTCATCGCCCTGTGGTACAAAATCAGGTGCTTCCAGAATGGTGTTAAAATCTACTCATTCTTGGTTTGCTAGACTGGCCGAGACCACAGGATTGGACAATGAGGTCATAAAATAAGGGTGCGGATCCTAGCAAAAATAACCAATACCTGACTACGCCAATTGCTGAGATTATGTTCCCCGAATCCTTTCAAAGGCATCACCACCGACACCCGCAGGAGCTTCGCTTGAGCTGAGTGCTCCAAGTCGTCCACATTGGGGTACAGGAATGCCAGGGCGTTCCCCGCTGCTTCGGCCGCGCGTATCCGATGCAGCTCCCGAGCCCTGATCAATGTCGACAAAGAGCTTAGCAACACCCCCTCCTCCGCAAACAAGCTTCACGCGTTATCCCAAAGCTTGAAAACGGGGGAATAACATAAAACAGCAATCCTTCAGAAGGGGAAAAAAAAGAAAAAAATAAAAAAATAAAAAATGGCAGAGGCAGAGGAAAACCTTACTACTGAATTATAAGCCCAACCAGCGGCGAGCACCAAATAGACCAAACATCCCTGCAGGAACAAACACAAACACATACACAAACCCACACCCGACCATTTCAGATCCGCCACTCCTTCATCATCTCTCCACTACCCGATCCCAAACCCTGATTATCCATTCCACAAACCCCACTCCCAAGTACCTTAAACCCCCACGATCACTGCCAAAAAACGACAATATCGGTACAGAGATTCAGGAAGAAAGAAAGTAAACCCACAAACAAAAATCACACACACTCACACAATCACACACTTACCTTAAGCTGGAGGAAAATGGAGACGGGATGGCAGAACACTAAGCTGGCCCATGCAAGCCATGCATCCATGGCCTCCACAAACGCCATCTCTCTCCAGTGCGTCAGTCAATCAATCAATATGTGTCTCTCTGAGGGGTTTAGGGTTTCTTCTCACCGCATCTCCTCCGTGATCTGCTCGGGCACATTGTTGCTGCAGGAGTGGTTGGGTGGCGGTATGAAACCCGTCCGATTCGCTCCACACGCACTGAAACGGACCCGTCTCATCATCATCCATTGTTCGCGGCACACTTTGATGAGCAGTTTTAATTTTAATTACGCGGGGGCGCAGCAGCAGTAGCAACTTAGTGCACATTCTTCGCCATTTTCCAGGCGATGTCAGAAGAATTTTTTCTCATCTAACGCTCCCATCGCCGCAACCCTCGCAACACTACTCCGAGCCCCACCATCACTCGCTGGGTGTATCTCTATTCGTATGTATACGAATACATTTCCCGTATTATTGTTATATTATATGAGTGTTTCTACTCATCGATACGTCTTCCAATACATCCGTGGTTTATGTAAATTAGTGTGGATGTTTATACATTTCCTTATTACTATGTTTACTGCATGTTTTATGGATATTGGTGGTTTAATATGTTTAGTTGCTGATATGTGTAGCAATGTATATCCTTAACCTTAAAGATCTTCATTGGGATTAAGTAATTTTAAGAAATTACATTGCATAGTAGTAGAGCCTTTAGCTAAGGTGTTGGCATCAAACTACTGCAATTATTCGTGGTCAAGTAATTGCTTCATTAGGAAATGACTTAGACATAAATTCTATAATATTGTCTAATCTTGATGGTTCATGTCTAGGTCCTATATCCTATGCTACAATGAGTAAATTATAAAATAAAATTAGAAGTAATGTAATCGTGTATTCTTCAAGCTATCTAGTGTGTTTTGTTCCTTGTGTCGATTGTGAACGTTTGCTTATATAAGATAGTGCTTTTCAAGGGAGAAATAGCCCTTGCTATTGACCTCCAATATTGATAATTATGGTCACTTAGATGTTGGACAATTGTAACATATATTTCTATTATTGCCAATGAATCTTAAAAGTCGCTCAAGTGTTGTACTACTTCCATTACTTATGGGAGGTCTTTTTATATGTATGACATAGAAGTTATCTGATCTTATATTTTCTACTTCGTCACATTGCTCTAGGAAGTGGTGTGAAGGAAATATATGAAAGAAAGGAGACATATGACAGATCTTGGTGTTGTGGCTCCAACCAAAGCATTGATTTCTTACCATGAGTCTTTTTTGAGGAGTTTTATGAAAGAAGGATTAGATTGGTAGATACAAACATAGATTGGGAGTTGTGGTCTATTGATTCCTATCTGAGACTTGTGTCATGGATATATACATTTATTCCAATAGTTACTTATATGATTAGGTAGAAGTAGGTAAATATAGATTAATTTCATTAAGTCTTGTAGAGAATCTTCCTAAAAGCTTTATAGATGTGGTTTTGACTTTAGATGTGTTTATAGGTTAAAAACTTGGCCAACAAGTTAACCATGTGTTGGTAGCTTATTGAACAAGTTAATTCCATATAATAGCTTGTAAAACAAACTAACTATGTGGTACATATATAGATAACTTGCCTTGCAAATCAAGACATGTGGCTAACAAAGTCAACACATGTTGGAGGTCCTATAGAATATTGCCACCTAGCTCCTAATTAGAGAATATATAGAGAGGTAGGAGTGAAGCCTTCTTCATTCTTGCCAATGCATTTTTAGTCTTTAATCTTGTTCAAAGACTTTTTAGTCTTCTTATTTTTGGCAATAGCTATTCTAGTTTAATATTATATCATCTTTGAGTGACTTTTTAGTTCTTTTTAGTAATATAAGAGTGTGTTGAGGATTTTTTTTTTGAGATTCATGTCCTTGATAGTTTGACAAGAGTACTAATATATTATTTTTGTCTTACTTTAGAAGTAAATAGATTACCTCACTTCTATTGTTGTATTTTGAAGGTTGCGGACTATCCACCTTTAAATAAAAAATCTTATTTTCTAACATTGATCTTTTTCTTAAAGAGAGTGGATCATCCCTCTTTGTCAAAAATTTTATTAGAGGTTGCTGATTACCTTCTTCTAATTTAACTTTTTAAATTTGTTTGAGTTATTAATGAAAGAAAAAATTATAGATGCTATTCTCAACTGAAGTGAGAATAGATTTGTAACTATTGTAGATCTTCATGAGCTTATCAACACTCTAAGAATAGAAATCTCACGTATTACTAACGTGAATCATAGAAGTATTATGTCTACACCTATGGAAAAAGTTTAGAGTTTGCAACAAAAAGTTGCATAATTGAAGAAAGTAAGTATATCGACCTCACAACCAAATCTAAAGATGAGGACAAGGATTAATATACCTGAGAAGTTTGATGGAACAAGATCAAAATTTTAAGGACTTTTGCAACAAGTTAAGCTCTATCTAAGATTGCATTCTTTCCAATACCTCAATGGATTTACTCAAGTCAGATTCATAGGCACTCTTCTATCAAGAAGTACCCTCTCTTTGTTTGTACCTTTAATAGAAAAAGATTTGCAACTCTTTTATGATTTGAATTCATTCTTAGAAGTGTTTACAACCACATTTGGAGAAAGTGATCGAGAAAGAGTAGTAGAGACCAAGTTCTTATCTTTATGACAAAGATCACGATCAACCAACATATATGTTAGTGAATTCTAAAACCTTGCTTGTGATGTGGACTGGAATGATAAAGCTCTTATCAATTAATTTTACTATGACTTGAAGGATAATGTCAAAGATCTATTATTGACAATGTCAAAGACATAATTTTTGGAACAATTTATTGTTCAAGCCATTACATGTGACAATTAATTATTTGAAAGATGTTATCATAATGTAATACAACTATATAGTAAAATTATAATCAAAATTGAATTTTTAATTAATATCTAATTATCTTGATTTAATAATAATTTAAGGTATCTAAAAATAGCTTTTATAAAAGCCTCTTAGATTATTTTCTTATCTTAATAGTTAGTAGTATGAAGGTTGGTTAGTACTTTTATCTTCTAGGCTGTAGAGACTCTTTTACAACCTTTGAAAGACCATAAATTCATAAAATCAAGTTAGAAGAGGTAAATAATTAGTATGGTTGATACCAAGATGAAGTTGAGGATAAGATTGGGCTAAAAAATCCTTAGGATAGGTTAGATTGATATCCTAGGATTGACCATTTGTGAAACAGGGTTGAAATTAGACCTCTAGCCTCTAAAACAATCACCTAGGGCAAAATAGGTTTTCATTCAAAGATCAAAGATTAGGATTGGAGAGCTAGATTGGAGCTTTTTCAAAAGATATAAGGTTGATTTTGATAGGATTTTTTAGAACTTAGCAATTATTATTGAAAGTCAAGGTTTGTATTAGCAACTTGGAATTTATGCAATGAAATTAGGGCTAGTACTCTTGACTAGTTTGAAAAATTGGTATCACATTTATAGTTCAAATTTTGATAATACTTTTTTAATTAGGTGTTCTAAGTATATGTAAAATTTTGTGATAATTCAATGGTGCAATTGGGAGATATTTAGATTTTAGTACAAGAATATACTGAAAGTTGGCAGTTTGAGATTGGATAGTGTATCTATGATATCTAAAGATCTATTAAATAGATCAAGGTGAAATTTTGCATAATATTGTAGGACTTGAAGATCAAGCTATATATCAATTTTGAATTGAAGTTAACATTTAATAAAGGAGAAATCACTATTGAAACTTCTACATCTCCTTTCAAGTTGGCAGCCAAGTAACATCAGTGCAATTTTTGGAGGTTTTCTCACAATCTATTATTTGGATTGGACTAAAATTTCTTGAGCATATAAAAGACTTATATTGACAATTTTATGCAAAATTTTACATCAAGTGGACAATCAAATTAGAAGTTATAGCTTATCAAAGCTCACTAATTAGAGTTAGAGTTTATAAGAAAAATCTAAATTACTTAAATATGAAAGCAAAAAGGTAATTGTGGCTTATATGTAATTGAAACTACTAAAAAGAGTATTTTTTAGTACTTTTGAATTAAAATTTAGATTATATTCTTCTCATATGGATGAAACCTATTAGGATTTCTTGGATACTTATGAAACATAACTTCACCTTCTACAACTAGGTGCCTGGTGCATTTCCAAACAAAACAATATGTAATACGACAACATCAAGAACAAAGATATGACTAGAGAGGAACAAATCAAATAATGTCAATAGCTCCTAATTTTTCAAAAACTTATTTATTAAAACTAGAACCAATATAAATTGATACAATACATTTTAAATCCATCATAGAGCAGAAAAAAATTGATGATGTCAAAGGGCTTATGTTTGTATTGTGGAGAAGCCAAACATATTACTCAACATTTTCTAAAAAAATAATGCAATTACAAAATGAAAAGCACCATTGCCAAAGAAGACAATGTGTCAAAAAATCAAGTTGCTCCAGTTACAATAGGGACCTTGCGGTTGGAATCATGTACAACATCTAGTAAAGGTCCTATTTTCTCCTATGATCTCTCACCTTGTTTTACAATAGAAGTTTGTTTAGGATGGAAAAATCACAAAATCTTAGCCTTGTTGGATTCAAGAGCCTCAGCTTGTTTTATAGATGAATATTTTGTTAAAAAATAAGATATATCTTTAGTTAAAAAAATCAAACCTGTGTATGTAGAAATAATAGATGAACATTCATTGTCTTTTGAGAATGTTATACATGAAACTATTCCTACAGAAGTACCAACTAGTAGTCACAATAGTTTAATAATGTTTAATGTGATTAAATCTCCTTCTAATCCAATCATTTTAAAATTATCATAATTAGAAAGATATAATCCTCAAAAAGACTGGATTTTTTGCAATCTTGATTTTTTCCATAGTTTAGTCCAAGGTTCTACTAAGCAAGTAGAAATCTATAAGCCTAGTACATCCAAATCCTTATTAGTAGGTGCGAGAGCTTTTATACATGCCACAAATGAAGGGCCATCTTTTGCTATGTATGCCATGTCCATTGTTGATGGTGAGAAGATATCAAGTGGTATTCTTATTCATGATATTAAGAATCTTTCTTCTAATTTTTATGATGTTTCAAAGTTTGAGTTCAAGAATAATCTACTCTATTTTGAAGGATGCCTATATGTTCCAAAAAGAGGAGCACATTTACGAGTTCTTCAAGCATATCATGACTTTTTAGTAGCATGATATTTTGGATATAACAAAACTTTAGAGCTTAT